GAGGACCTGACACTTCTTGGAAACTCTTGGAAATGGCTCCCGCCACAGCACCGGAGGGGGCTGCGAGCCTGGGGTGGGCGCTCGCCCCCGCGGGGATGCTGAGCCGCTCTCTGATGCAGGGCCTCGAGGCGCTGTACCTGCGCTCCGCGGCCGGCTCGGGCTGAAAAAGTTTCTCCATGGTTCCTTTGTGTCACCCGAGCGCCCGATTGCTGGCCCCTAGCTGTCCCAGTCTTCTCGGGTAAGTGAGCGATATATTTTGCTTCTGTCGCTGCCATTTTGAGCACTTCTGTCTGTCCTCAGCCCCCGAGCTGCCCCTCCCCATCCTTCCCGCACTGAACCCAGGTCCCCTCGGCGGGTGTTCGGAAAGAGTCATTTTCCTGGGCGGGTTACATGGGATGCGCTGCCCAGATAAAGCGAGTTCCGGATTACCCGCACTTCGCTCCTGCCTGTCTTCTTTCCAGAGGCGGACTCCCAGCTGCTGCACTCATGTGACTCCAACAGAAATAAGCAGACCAAAAAGAAGGGCAAGGGGCTCGCTGCCCTGCCAATGAGGGAGCGAGGGTCGAGGACCTGGGTTGAGTCCTGGGCAGGGCAGGGCACTCCCAGCCTGTGGGCTCTGAACCTCCGAGACTGAGTGGGGCTTAATCCATCATGAACTTGAATGTCTCTCTTCGAAGCAGTTGTATTTTTAGACATTTCCCCATCCTCCATTCCTTAACCACAGAAAGACCAGCACCAGGCAGTAAATTGTGAGGATAGCCAACCTCAACTGCTAAGTTTGTTTTTCTTCATCATGTATGAAGAAAAGCCTCAAATGTGGATCTTCATGGCATCTGACTGTTGTCAGTATTTCACGTCAGATGGTGGTACATTAGATGGGAGTCAGCTTTCAACAGAGCTGAAGGAATAATAAACTAGAGAGTTAATTACTAGCTATTAAACTAATTTTAAAGCTCTTCTGTAAACAATGGTGGAAATCCATTCCAATCTTCTTCACATTCTACCCAGAACCAAAGCTGCTTTCTGAGGAGAAATACACGTGGGGTCCTTCCTCCCCAAGACATCCAGCATCCTAGTGCACCTTATCAATGCCCAACAGAATGTTAGCCCTTCTCTCCTCTGGAAGAGCCACTCTGCCAACTGAGTCCGGGTTGATTTCTAAATTGTCTGAGTCCTAAATCCTTTTTAAAATAACCACAGATTCCCAGATAAAGATGCTAGAATCTAGGGATCGCTCAATACAGCAGTCTATATGTTACAGCTACATAACAAATGTGCTTACTTTGGGAGTGACAATGGACAGTAAGCTACTCTGGGTTTTCTGTGTTTGTGTGTGTGTGTGTGTGTGTGTGTGTGTTTACAATCTATTTGTACTTAATGGTGCTGCTTCTTCTTAAAACAAAATTATAAAAGGTTAGAGATGTATTCTCTCTACTGACCCCTCTCTAACCTACCTAGTATTTTTCCTTACTGAAAACCAACTAACTTCCAAGGACATATTGATTTGCAAACATTGTAAAGTGCTGATTACCATTTGCTTTTCCACTGGTGGAGAAAAGATCCTGCCTATATTGATATAATGGAGGGAATCAAGGGCCAAAGCTCTTCACCCAGGCATCAACTAAAAGCAAAAATTCTACCTAAGTCATCCCAAATTTTCAAAGAGTAATTTATTCTAAAACATAAATTATTTTATAAAGGATAAAATGCCAGAAGGCTTGCAAGTGATATCTAATCTTTTCAAATTCATACAATGCCCTTAATTTTATCATCTCTATTATAGGAGGGCACACATCCAGTGAAACAGAAAATGTTTTACTCTGGAGATCCAGAAAGATTGAAATTTTTAGAAGCTAACAGATATCCACGAAGACACATCTGTACATTTATCTAACCTCAGCTTTATTATAAACAGCTAAACGCCCTATAGAATAGTCCATAGATTGTTGCTACCCTTCTTTCCTAAATGTGACCTCATGAGAAAAAGATGAAGAAAACAGTTCTCACTTGGAGAAATGTCATTCTACAAATCATTGGTATTATGTAGACTGCTGTACCTAGTTAATTGCCTACTCATTTGAATTTTGGGATTCCGAAGAGTGTTGGCACATTAATAAGGGGTCAGAAAGCTATTGTGGCAGAGTGGTGAATTTTTGTAAGGTCTTAATTTTTCCTGCAGGAGAAAGAGATCTTTCTCTTGGAGATTCTAGGGGACCTCTCAAAATCCCTGATGAGATCTAGCACATGACACCTTTTTGAGAGTTCCTCTGAGGGAGGAGAGGAAGACAGAAGGAAGAGCTCAGTTACATAACCAGTTACCTAAAACTAAATATTCCACCCCAAGAAGCTGTCCAGATGTTGCAGAAAAGAGGTGAAGAAAAGGCTGTGAGAGGGATGATCTGCTTGCCTTTAGCTTTGAGAACAATAATAGGTGGAAGAAAACTTTGCGCAGATATTTATTGTCAGATTATTGTCAGAGTGTTCTCCCAGCAGTGGACTCTCTATTAGTTATCTGAGGTAAATAAACTGTCTGCCTGCAAGCATATGTTTGACCTTTAATTTTCATCCAGTGAAATGAATTCCTTTTGTCTTTATAAAAGTAACTTTTGTTGCTGTTTTAGTGACTTTGAGCCCCACTTTGACAAGTTCTTGGCTTAGGTAGAGACTTGAAAGTCTTGTGGCAGTTCCTTTGGGAATCTTCTGATTTCAGGACGAAGGGAGTGGCTTTTGCCAGGAAAGTTCTGAGCCACTAGTTTGAATCCTCACATTTAGTTTCTACTAAATGATCAGAACTCTGTTGGCTGCTAGGGTTTGAAATGAGCAATGCTTGAATATTACCTATAGAGTGTGTGTGGGATGGGACATGGGGAGAGAAGAAGGTGTTCTCTTAATGTGTATTATCACCTCTTATCAATTATTGCAACAAGGCTTCTCTTCCCTAATCCATCTACCCCATCCCCGTTAGTGGGTAAAGGCCCTGGGGTGGGAGGCACACATATGGTGGGATCAGGGAGCGGGACAATTTCTGTGCTTGGCACGTTGCTGCAACCAAGTCTATACCCTCTGACTGTCTTCCTCTGCTTTGCAGCAAGAGGAAGTGGAGGAGCAGCTAGTGGGCAGCTGGCGCCTCCCCCGCCTTTCCCGCACAGGCCTCCGCCCCAGGGGCTAGCCCCGCGCGAATCCACCTGCTCGTCATGATCGCCACCGGCGGCCTGCTGAGGATTTCAGCCAGAAAGCAGGATCCCCTCCGCCCCCCGAGCCAGGTCCCCAAGCGCAAGCGGAAAGCCAAGAAGAGGCGCAAGAACGACGTGGTGGTGGTGAAAGGCAAGTTGAAGCTGTGCTCTGTCTCCGGGCTCATTGCCCTCTGTGGGATCCTGGTGCTGTTGGTGGGCATAGCCATGGCGGTGGTGGGCTACTGGCCCAAGGCCAACGTGGTCAATAGGGAGGGCGGTAAGCATCTGCCGCCCGTGGGCAGCAGCCGCCATGCCCCGACCACGGCCAATAGCAGCAGCAGTGGCAATAAAAACCGGTCCAGGGGCCATTCGGAGACCCCGGGGGGTGTCAACTCCAGTTCCGTGGGCGCGCCCAGGAGCACGCCCCCAGCGCGGCCCGCTGCCCCTTCTCCATCCTCCTCCACGTCGGTGGGTTTCTTCTTCCACATCTTCTCTGGCTACCTGCACTCTGATAAACTCAAGGTCTTCGGGCCCCTCATCATGGGGATAGGCATCTTCCTCTTCATTTGCGCTAACGCGGTGCTCCACGAGAACCGAGACAAGAAGACCAAGATCATCAATCTGCGGGACCTGTACTCTACGGTCATCGACGTGCACAGCCTCCGTGCCAAAGACCTGGCGGCCGCTGCGGCTGCGGCTGCAGCCGCCACCTCCTCGTCCTCGGTCCCCGCCTCGGCGCCCCCAGGGGCCGCGCCACTCAACGGCTTCCTCAGCTACGTGCAGTCGCGGGGTCTGGAGCTGAAGCCTGGGGTCTGCGGCGGCGCGGGGGACGCCT